TTAGCTTTGTCTACGGCCCAATCCCACCTCATCCCACCCCACCCCTCCCTTATTTTCATCTGAGAACATTTCTCAAATAATAATTTGTACAAGAATCCCCATCTCAGGCTCAGCATCCAAGGAACCCAACCCAGACATTCATGCAGTGATGTTTTTGAGTTCAGAAAAGGTCCTGGATGACTGGACTCATGTCACTACAGCCTGCTGCACTCTCTTTCCCACCATGAAAAACTGACCAGTTAAGGATTAGTAGGGAGGAGGCAACTGTCTTGGCAAGGACTTTGAGAGAGGAGACAGTTAAAGGTTTGAAATCTTCAAGAAACTTGCCATAGACAAGGAAGGGCCCCTACAACATAGAGATCTGTAGGTTAGCAAATTGCCTTTTGTCTCTGGGGACCCATGATGAGCATCAATCACTGTCATAAATGGGCTCTGTGTCCTTTGAGGAATGACACTTTTATGCGAAATGATCTCTACCTACTGTGGAAAGGGGTAGAATTTACTTCAAACAAATTCCCACTCTAGACTGGGCACACCCATGGCAGTCCCTTGACATTTATTATCATGTTTAGTCTCACAGTACAACACAGAGGACTCTGCATGTGTACAGACTACAGTGCAAATGGTGCTCCCTAAGAGGTAAGTATGGTTATTCCTACTTAACAGATAGGAAATGTAGGGCTGATGATAGTTATGGGACTTGTCAGGAAAATGGTAGACTTGAGATCATAGCAAGGGCTACTCGCTTCCTAAGCACAGATTTGTTAGGTAAACTTCTCCCCATGTGGACCACAGCTAAGTTGTCACTTCCTCTGTGAAGTCCTCCCTTGCCTCCAAGTGTGTATGCACCTTTTCTTTGTAGCATCACTCACAGTGGCACATGTCTGTGTAATCTTTTGACCAATGGCTATTTCTTCTCCTAGGTATAGAAACATGTCTTCTTTTGCTCATTATTGTATCCCTTAGTGCCTAGAACAGTGCCTGGCTCATAGTAGCTACTTAGTAAGCATTAGTAGAATAGATGAATGGATAGAGGGATGGATGGATGGTTGGGTGGGTAGATGAATGGCAGGTTGATGTATGAATAGGTGAATGGATGAGTAGGTGGATGAAGAGGTGGACAGATGGACGTGATGAAGGGACTGCCGGTTCCTCTCTGGTGCACCTAGTCTGGAGGACCCACTGAGCACGGGCCACTCTCACT